TGAGGTGATACCTCATTGTTGTTTTAATTTGCAACTCTCTGATGATTAGTGATGTTGAGCATTTCTTTGTATGTCTCTTGCCCACTTGTATGTCCTGTTTGGAGAGGTGTCTATTTCGTTCGTCTGCCCATTTGTTAATTGGGTTCTTTGTCTTCCTTTTGTTGAGTTATACGATGCTTTATATATATTGGAAATTAACCCCTTATCTGATATGTCATTGGCAATAATGCTCTCCCATACAGTGGGTTGCTTTCCATTTTGATGATTGTATCTTTTACTGTGCAGAAGCTTTTGAGTTTGATGTAGTCCTATGTGTTCATTTTCACTTTTATTTCTGTTGTATTAGGTCAATGTATCAGTGGAAATTCTGCAGTGTATGAGGTCCTACATTTTGTTTCCTACATTTTCTTCTAGGATATTTATGGATTCATGAGTCACATTTAAGTCTTTATCCATTTTGAGTTTATTCTTGTGTATGGTGTAAGTTGATGGTCTAGTTTTACCTTTTTTGCATGTAGCTATCCAATTTTCCCAACACCATTTATTAAAGAGGCTGTCTTTACTGCCATGTATGCTCTTGCAACCTTTGTCAAATATTAATTGAGCATATTGCCTTGGGTCCAATTCTGGGTTCTCTACTCTGTTCCATTAATCTATATGCCTGTTCTTGTGCCAGTATCAGGTTGTTTGGATTACAGTGGATTTGTAGTATAACCTGAAATCTGGTAATGTGATCGCTCCAACTTTGTTTTTCTTTTTCAAGATTAGTGTAGCTATTTGGGAACTTTTTTGGTTCCATATGAACTTTTGAAGAATTTCTTCTTCTGTGAAGTATGTTTTTGGTATTTTGATGGGGATTGCTTTGGGTAGTATGCACATTTTAATCATGTTAATTCTTTCAATTCATGAACAAGGTATGTGCTTCCACTTTTTTATCTCTTCTTCTTTTTGCAATGCCTGTAGTTTTCTGCAAATAGTTTCTTTATTTCTTTGGTTAATTTTATTCCTAGGCATCTTAAGGTGTTTTTTTTTTTTGCCATGATGGTAAATGGGATTGTTTTTTTATTTTCTCCTTCTGTGAGTTCATCATTGGTGTATAACAATGCTGTTAATTTCTTGACATTAATTTTGTATCCTGCTACTTTGCCAAATTCATTTATCAAGTCTAGTAAATTTTTGATGGCTTTTTTTTTTTTTTATGTACAGTATCATGTTATATGCAAATAATGACAGTTTCACTACCTTTCTTCCAATTTGTATCCCTTATATTTATTTTTCCTGTCTGATTGCTGTGGCTAAGACTTCCAGTACTATGTTAAATAAGAGTGGCGAAAGTGGGCATTCTTGTCTTGTTCCTGTTCATAAGGGAAATGCTTTTAGTTTTTGCCCATTGAGTATGATGTTGGCTGTAGGTCTTTCATATATGGTGTTTATAATGATGAGATTTGATCAATCTATTTTCAGCTTGCTGAGCGTTTTTATCAGAAATATGTGCTGGATTTCGTCAAATGCTTTTTCAGCATCTATTGATATGATCCTATAATTTTTATCTTTCATTTTATATATGTGGTGTATCACATTTATTGATTTGCTATATTGTACCAGCCTTGCATCCCTGGATGAATCACACTTGGTCATAGTGAATAATTTTTTTTGTATTGCTGGATTCTGTTTGCTAGTATTTTGTTCAGGATTTTGGCATCTATGTTCATCAGGGATATTGGCCTTTACATTTATTTCCTTTAAGTGTCTTTTTCTGGTTTGGGAAGTAGGATTATGCTGGCCTCAAAAATGAGTTTGGAAGTCTTCCTTTTTCTTGAATTTTTAAAAATAGGTCCAGGAGCATGGGTATTTGTTCTTCTTTGAATTTTTGGTAAAATTCCCTCATGATTTCTAGTATTATGTCATTGTAATCTGATAAGATGCTTGCTATGATTTTAATCTTCTTTTTTTTTTTTTTATCCTCACCCGAGGATATTTTTCCATTTTTTGTACAGATAGAGCGGGAGGGAGAGAGAGAGAGAAACATCGACGTGAAGGGACACATCGAGTGACTGCCACCTGCACGACCAACCAGGGCCGGGGACAAACTGCAACCGAAGTACATGCCCTTAGCGGGAACCGAACCCCGGTCACTCCGGACCGCAGGCCGACGCTCTATCCGCTGAGCCAAACTGGCCAGGGCGATTTTAATCTTCTTGAACTTGTAGAGACTTAGTTTGTACCGTAACATGTGGTATATCCTTGAGAATGTTCCATATGCACTTGAGAAAAGTATAAATTCTGCCATTTTGTGGTGTAATTCTCTGTAGATAACTGTTAAATTCATTTGGTCTTGTGCTTCATTTAGAGTCTCTGCTTCCTTCTTAATATTTTGTCTAGAGGATTTATCCAGTGATGTCAGCGGGGTGTTGAAGTCCCCTGCTATGATTGTATTGCTTTCAATTTCTCCTTTGAAGTCCTCCAGAAGATTTTTAATATATTTTGGTGCTCCTATATTGGGTGCATATATGTTTACCAAGGTTATATTTTCCTGTTGATAAATTATTTCAATATTATGTAGTGGCCTTCTTTGTCTCTAGTTATGGCCTACATTTTGAAATCTACTTTATCAGATATGAGTATTGCTATGCCAGCTTTTTTTTTTTTTCTTTCTGTTTGCTTGAAAGATTTTTTTCCATCTCTTCACTTTCAACCTATGTGAGTACTTGTTGTGAGGTGGATGTTTTGTAAACAACTTATATGTGGGTCATGCTTTCTTATCCAGTCAGGTACACTGTGTCTTTTTATTGGAGCATTGAAACCATTCACATTTAAGGGCATCATTGATATTTACTTCTTTATTGCCATTTTTGTTTAGTGTGGTTATATATTTTTTTCTATTTCTTCTACTAATTACAGTAGCCTTTTTTTTTTTTTTTTTTTTTTTTTTGTCTGAGAAGCTCTTTATTTGACCTTCTATTTTGAATGATAGCCTTGCTGGATAGAGTAGTCTTAGATTCTGATCCTTGTTTTTCATCACCTTGATTACTTCATGTCACTCACTTCTGGCCTTTATTGTTTCTTTTAAGTAGTCAGCTGAGAGCCTTCTGGGATTTCCTTTGTAGGCAACCTGTTGCTTATCTCTAGCTGCCTTTAGGATTCTCTCTTTGTCTTAAATTTTTGGCATTTTAATTCCTATATGTTTTGATGTGGGCCTATTTGGGTTCTTCTTACTTGGGGCTTTCTGTGCTTCTTGAACTTGAATGCCTTCTTCCTTCACCAAGTTAGGAAAGTTTTCTGTCATATTTCTTGAAATATATCTCAAACCTGGCCCATTTTCTTCCTCTTCAGGAATGCCTATGATATTAATGTAATTACATTTCCAGTTGTCTCACAGTTCTCTTAAGCTGTCTCCCTGTTTTTTAATTTTTTTCCTATTGGTTTTCTGATTGGTTGATTTTATTTTACCTTGTCTAATTCACTGATCCGGTTCTCAGCTTCCTCTACTCTGTTGGTTAGTCCTTCCAATGTGTTCTTTATTTGTGCTATATCGTTCTTCATTTCCAATTGGTTGGTCTTCAATGTTTCTATATCTTTACTCATGGTGCTGATGTCCTTACTCATGCTGTTGGGCTTTTTCAAGATCATGCCTTTGAACTCTACCTCTGATAATGTGCTTAACTTTATTTCATTGATCTGATCTTCAATAGAGTTCTCTTGTTCTTTCATTTGGGATTTGTTTTTTTGTTTCACCATTTTGGCTATCTTCGTGGGTTTTGGAGCCTGCCAATTATTCTCTTTGGGTGTTGGTGTTTCACTTTTTGTGGGTTCCTCTTCTGGGTTTGGGTGGGAGTAGGCGGGCCCACGTTAAACACCACTGTGAAGTCTTACTTTCCTGGGTAGATTTGCAAGCTCTAGAAAGGTTCAGTTATCCTGTAGCTTTTTCCTTGTGGCTAGTAGTCTCAGTTACCCAATGCCTTGGCATGTAGCCCTGGTGTTCTACATAAGAGGATTTCCAGAGTGTGTGATAGATGCTGGTTGTTAATGAGCTTCAATTTGCATTTCTTTGCCTCACTTGAGAATGGCTGAATCTTTTAAGGAGGTGGGGGACTGCTGCTTTTCCCCACAGCTCTGGGAACGAGCAAACTGGCCATTGTCATTTGTGGCCGCAACTCAGCAAAAACTCTGAGTGTACTCCAAATCATCATTGTTTCCCCAGAGTTTTAGTGCAGTCTTCCCTCCCTCTGCTGCAGCTCACTGGTGAGTGTCTGGTGCTCTGTCTGGGCGGGCTCCCTGTGCTGTGAGGCAAGCTTTGTTTTTATTCCCCAAGGGCATTGTTCTCAGCTAAGACTGCCGCATTCCTCCTGCTCCCCAGCCTCTGTTCCTGGGGGTGTATCTTGACTCTGCTCGGGCTGCTACTATGGGGGATGGTTTTGGGCTCCCGGCTATTTGTGTCTTCTGTGACATGCACCTTAGGAGCTTCACTACTGTGCACCAGTCTATGTTGACACAGTGTCCACTGCTCTGATGTTGCCAGGTGCACTGATGGGCTGAGGTAGCTGGGCCCTAGCCACTTTCACTGCCCCCTCACAGGGAAGACCCAGGATCTTCCAAAATGGTGGGACCTCCCCACGGTGCAGGGAGAAGGGCCCTGAAGTGCAGCTCACTGTGGTAACTAGTTGCTCCCTTCCACAGCACAGGAACCTTCTGGTCCACGTCTCTGCACTGCAGGTGTTTGGTCATCCGCCTTCACGTCCATTCACACTCTCTCACATACTAACTCACTCTCTCACACACTAACTCTCCCTCTGGTCCTGCCTCCTGCCATCTTCTCCACTCTGTCACTTTTTAAACTTAGAAACATCTTGTCATGTTGGTTTATGTAGAGCCATAATTCTTTTAAAATTTACATTGGCCAAAAACTCTCTCCTGACTGTTCCTCTCAAATTTAAAAATACTGTTTCTTGCCTTGTTCTCACAAAAATTATTAATTTGCTTGATTTTAAATATTATTTTAGGTGGCCAGGGAAAGAACGTGCTTGGATTATTACATTTCCAGAAAATTGTAATTTCAGGTATATACCAGAAGAAGTGATAGCAAAAGTACTGAGGTATTTGACATCTATTGCGAGGTATAGCATTTCCTAACATTATTTTTTTAATTTGTTGTATGTTGAATAGCTATACGAATGTAATAATGGGAAGGTGTCTTTTAAGTGTGACTATTATTATTATTACAAATGATTATAAAGCTCACCTTCAGAGGGATATGAAATAGAAAGGGAAGCTGTCAGCTACGTAAATTGCTATAAAAATTGTATTGGGGAATCTCTGAATACAAAATTGTGGATCTAGAAGTATCTGTCCTAGTGAAGAACGTAAGTTGAAAATAATGATCATATATAAAGCCTTTACTTTGTGTAAAAGGAAATTTTACTAGTCAAGAGTGGGGAACAGCTATTCTTCATTACTTCCGAAGGTAAAATAAAAAGACTGAATGCTAAATAGGCTCAAAAGTGTTATTGGAATATATTAGGAGGAACTTCTTGATATTGGAGAATATTTTTCAGACTTTAACATGTTAGCAGGGAACCTTTCAAAAGCTTCATTAAAGATTTTATTTAGGTCAAAGACAATTTTTTTAAGAAAACATTTTCTAGTTATTAACCGAGAAGACTAAGGGGGCACAAATCTAGTATGGAAAAATTGTGGAGTCTCATGAACAAGTATCAAATCTTAGAAATATAAATCTAACCAGCACCACTTGAAACTTGACAGTGGTCTTTTTAGGGCAAATAAAAAATTTAGCTTTTGGTTTTGGCTTACAGGAGGATTAGGTGCAATTTTCTTTTAGTCCTCTCGAATCTGGGCTCATCTAACACCTGCCACCTCCACCATGCTGTCAAAGTTCTACCTCAATGAGACCAAAGTTGTATACATTTTGTGTTTCAATATGTAATTCGGTGCTATGTCTTGCCTGACCCCAAGATTGACCCCCTGGGTCTGTATCCAAAAAAATCTGGGGATGACATCCCCAGAGCAACTGATGATTAAAAGAGTCTAAGGATTATAGTGAAACTGACAATTCAGAATAGGCAGGCCCAGACTGAGGTAGTACCTTCTGCTACAGCCCTGATCAACAAAGTTCTCATAGACTCACCAAGGTACAGAAAGAAGGGCAAAATAATTAAGGACAGTGGAAATACCACTTTTGATAAGATTATCAACATTTACCAACAGATGCGGCATGTATCTTTACCTAGAGAACTCTCTGGAAGCATTAAAGAGATTCAGGAGAACTATCTAGTCTCTGGGCTACATTGTTGATGGCTACCACTCTTATGACATCATAGGTTACATGGATAATGGTGTACTGGAATAACCAGCTAGTTAAGAACTACATAGGAAAATATTTCAATTATAGGTCATTTGACAACCTGCCTTCTCTAAAATGATAGACAACAGATAGAAAACATATTTAATAGTGTTTTTCTGGGAAGATTCCAGAATGGTGGCAGAGTTAATGGAAACTACACAGACCATCTCCCAGGACCAATCTGGAATAACAACAAAAATGAAGACAAATCATCAGGAAACAGCAACAGAAAAGCAGCTTGGAGGACCATATAACCAGGGACATTGACTCAATCCTGGTAGGATTGTGGAGGCGCGAGAGAGGGGCTGGGAGCCCATGGACAACAGCGGCCTTAGCTGTGAGCAGTGCCCTCAGTGTTAAACTCCAAATGGCTCCAGAGCACAGAGCCAGGACAGACCCTAAAATAGCCATAGCCACTCACCTTGGGCTCTGGCAGAGGGAGGGTGGACTGGACAGGAACTGTGTGGGGAAACTTGGGATTTGGAGGGCACTCAGAGTTTTGCTGAGTTGCGGCCACACAGGACAGTGGTAATCTTACTCCTTTCCAAGGCTCTGGAGAGAGGCAGTGGCCCCTCTCTGGGAGATTCAACCCCACCCAGTGGCATTGAAATGCAAATTGAGGCTCATTAACAACCAGCATCTGCCCCATTCTTGGGAAATCCTCTTATGCTGAACACCTGAGGGAGTTTTTCATTCAACTGAGAAGCCAAGGCTGTTCAAGTAACAGCAACTAATAGCCTCCAGGCAGAAAACTAAAAAAATAACTGAACTACTCCTGAGCTTCCAACTCTTTTCAAGAAGGTAAGACTTGACAGTGGTGTTTAACGTGGGTCCTCCCATGCTCATCCAAACCCAGGAGAGGGTACCACAAACAGGAGAACACCAGCTATCACAGGAATATTTAGGCAGGCTGCAAATCCCACTGAGATCGCCAAAATGGTGGAACAAAGGAACGTATGCTAAATGAAAAAACATGAGACCTATACCAAAAATGAGATAAATAAGGTGCAGTTGAGCAAGTTAACAGAACTAGAATTCAGAACCATGATTTTGAGGAAGCTCAACAGCATGTGTAAGGACATGAGCACCATGAATAAAGACATAGAAATAATGAAAATCAACCAGTTGGAAATTAAAAACCACCGTGAAGAAATGCAATATAACATATCAGAAATGAAAAACACATTGGAAGGTCTAAAAAGCAGAGTAGAGGAAGCTCAGGACCGGATCAGTCAATTAGAAGATAGGGTAGACAAAATCAACCAATCAGAAAATCAAAAGGAAAAAACAATTAAAAAATAGGAAGAGAGCTTAAGAGAACTGTGGGACAACTGGAAACATAATGACATTCGCGTCATAGGAGTCCCTGAAGAAGAAGAAGATGAGCAAGGGTTAGAGAATATATTCAAAGAAATAGTGACAGAAAACTTCCCTAAATTGGTGAAGGAAGAAGGCATTCACGTTCAAGAAGCACAGAGAGCCCTAAGTAAGAAGAACCCAAACAGACTCACAACAAGACACATAGTAATCAAAATGCCAAAAATTAAAGACAAAGAGAGAATCCTAAAGGCAGCAAGAGATAAGCAACAGGTTACCTACAAAGGAATCCACATAAGGCTCTCAGCTGACTTCTCAACAGAAACACTACAGGCCAGAAGGGAATGGCATGAGGTAATCAAGATCATGAAAAACAAGGATCAGAATCCAAGACTACTCTACTCAGCAAGGCTATCATTTGAAAATACAAGGTCAAATAAAGAGCTTCCAAGACAAAAAAAGGCTAAGGGAATACATTAGCACCAAACTAGCACTGCAAGAAATGTTAAAAAAGACTCTTATAATTAGCAGGAGAAATGGGAAGAAAAATAGAATCACACTAAACAAAAATGACAATAACTAAGTACATATTAATAATCACCTTAAATGTAAATGGATTGAACGCTCTGATATAAAGACACAGAGTAGCTGATTGGACATGAAAGCATGACTGATCTATATGTTGTTTACAAGAGACCCACCTCACAACAAAAGACTCACATAGGTTGAAAACGAAGGGATGGAAAAAATCTTCCAAGCAAACGGAAAGGGAAAAAAGCTGGGGTAGCAATACTCATATCTGATAAAATAGATTTCAAAATGAAGGCCATAACTTGAGACAAAGAAAGCCACTACATAATATTGAAAGGATTTATTCAACAGAAAGATATAACCTTGATGAACATATATGCACCCAATATAGGAGCACCAAAATATACTAAAAATCTTTTGGAAGACTTCATATGAGAAATTGATAGCAATACAATCATAGCAGGGGATGTCAACACCCTGCTGACATCACTGGATAGATCCTCTAGACAAAAAATTGGCAAGGAAACAGAGACTCTAAATGAAGCACTAGACCAAATGGATTTAATAGATATCTACAGATATCACACCTCAAAATTACAGAATTCACAATCTTTTCAAGTGCCCATGGAACATTCTCAAAGATAGACCAATTGTTAGAACAGAAACTGAGTCTCTACAGGTTCAAGAGGATTGAAATCATATCAAGGATCTTCTCAGATCACAATGTCATAAACTGGAAATCAATGGCAACGAGAACCTGCAAAGACAATTGAATACATGAAGGCCAAATAGCATGTTATTAAACAACAAATAGGTTACCAAAAAGGTCAAGGAAGAAATAAAAAAACTTCCTAGAAACCAATAAAAATGACACACAACAACAAAAAATCTATGGGATGGAGCAAAAGCAGTTCTGTGAGGGAAGTTCAGAGCACTACAGGCCTACCTCAAGAAACAAGAAAAATCTCTAATAGACTATCTAACCTTACAACTTAAAGAACTTGAAAGCAAACCAAAAACAAAACAAAAACAAACAAACAAAAATCCCAGAGCAAATAGAAGGAAGGAAATAGTAAAGATTAGAGTAGAAATAAATGACATAGAGACCAAAAAAAAAAAAAAAAAAACAATTCAAAGGAGCAATGAAACAAAGAGCTTGTTTTTCAAAAAGATAAACAATATTAATGGACCCTTAGCTATACTCATCAAGAAACAAAGAGAGAGAACCCAAATATACAGAGTCAGAAATGAAAGTGGAGAAGTAACAACTGACACCACAGAAATATTAAAGATCGTTAACAACTATTATGAACAATTATATGGCAACAAATTCGATAATCTAAGTGAAATGGACACATTCCTAGAAACACACAGTCTCCCAAAACTGGACCAGGAAGAGATAGAAACCTGGAACAGACCACTAACAATGAAGGAAATTGAAGATGTAATCAAGATTCTCCCAGCAAACAAAAGCCAGTCCCAGATGGCTTGACGAGGGAGTTTTACCAAATATTCAAAAAAAGAAATAACACCCATTCTCCTCAAACTATTTCAAAATATTCAAGAAAAAGGAAGACTTCCAAACTCATTTTATGAGGCCAGCATAACTCTAATTCGAAAACCAGAGAAAGACTTTACAAATCAAGAAAACTACAGGGCAACATCCCTGATGAACATCGATGCCAAAATTGTAAACAAAATACTAGCAAATCGGATTCAGTAATACATCAGAAAAATTATTCATTATGATGAAATGGGATTCATCCCAGGGATGCAAAGTTGGTACATTATTTTCAAATCAATAAACGTGATGCACCATGTAAATAAAATGAAGAATAAAAAACCCATGATCATATCAATAGATGCCAAAAAAAGTGTTAGACGAAATCCAGCATCCATTTCTGATAAAAACGCTCAGCAATGTGGGAATAGAGGGATCATATGTCAACATAATAAAGGGCGTATATAAAAGACCAACAGCCAACATCAAACTCAATGGGCAAAAATTAAAAGCATTTCCATTGAGAACAGGAACAAGACAAGGTACCCACTTTCACCACTCTAATTTAACATACTACTGAAAATCTTAGCCACAGCAATCAGACAGGACGAAAAAAAAAGGGGGATTCAAATTGGAAATGAGGAAGTGAAACTGCCATTATTTGCAGATGACATGATACTATATGTAGAAAATTTAAAGACTCCATCAAAAATTTACTAGACTTAAATGAATTTGCAAAGTAGCAGGATACAAAATTAATATCAAGAAATTGATGGCATTCCTATACATCAATGATGAACTCACAGAAAGATAAACAAAGAAAACAATCCCATTTACCATCACAGCAAAAAATTAAGGTATCTAGGAATAAACTTAGCCAAAGTAATAGAGGACCTATTGGCAGAAAACTACAGGTCACTGAAAAAGGAAATAGAGGAAGATATAAAGAAGTGGAAGCATATACCTTGCTTATGGATTGGAAGAATTAACATCATTAAAATGTCCATACTACCCAAAGCAATTTATAGATTCAATGCAATCCCCATCAAAATACCAACGACATACTTCATAGAACTAGAACAAATACTTCAAAAGTTTATATGGAAACAAGAAAGACCTCAAATATCCACAGCAGTCTGGAAAAAGAGGAACAAAATAGGAGGGATCACATTACCAGATTTCAGGTAAAACTACAAAGGCACTGTAATCAAAACTCCCTGGTACTGGCATAAGAACAGGCATATAGACCAGTGGAACAGAACAGAGAACCCAGAAATGGACCCAAGGCAATACGCTCAATTAATATTTGACAAAGGTGGCAAGAGCATACAGTCAAGTAAAGACAGCCTCTTTAATAAATAGTGTTGGGAAAATTGAAGCTACATGCAAAAAAAAAAAAATAGACCATCAACTTACTTCATACACTAGAATAAACTCAAAATGGATAAAAGACTTAAATGTGACGCATGAATCCATAAAAATCCTAGAAGAAACTCTAGGCAACAAAATTTCAGACATCATCCGCAGCAGAATTTTCACTGATACATCACCCAAGGCAACAGAAACAAAGGAGGAAATGAACACATGGTACTACATCAAACTCAAATGCTTCTGCAGAGCAAAAGATACAATCATCAAAATGGAAAGGCTACCAACTGTATGGGAGAGCATAATTGCCAATGATATATCAGATAAGGGGTTAATTTCTAATATGTATACAGTGCTCATACAACTCACAAAAGAAAGACAAAGAACCCAATTAACAAATGGGCAGAGGAAATAAATAGACACCTCTCCAAACAGGACATACAAATGGCTAAGAGACATATGAAGAAATGCTCAATATTACTAATCATCAGAGAGATTCAAATTAAAACAACAATGAAGTATTACTTCACACCTGTCAGAATGGCCACCATCAACAAATTATCAAACTACAAGTGTTGGTGAATGTGTGGGGAAAAGGGGACACTAGTACACTGCTGGTGGGAATGCAGACTGGTGCAGTCACTATGGAAAAAAATATGGTGTTACCTCAAAAAATTAAAAATTGAACTGCCATTTGACCCAGTGATCCTACTTCTTGGAATATACCGTAAGAAGTCTGAAACACCAGTCATAAAGAATATATGTTCCCCCATGTTCTTAGCAGTACTAGTTACAGTAGCTAAGATCTGAAAACAGCCCAAATGTCCATCTGTAGACGAATGGATAAAAAAGCTGTGGTACATATACACAATGGAGAACTATGCAGCTGTAAGAATTAAAGATCTTTTATCCTTTGAGACGACATAGAGGGACCTGGAAAGTTTTATCCTAAGCAAAACAAGCCAAACAGAGAAAGACAAGTGTTATATGATTCCACTTATTTGTGGAATATAATGAACATAACAGTCTGATGAATGAGGTAGTCCCAGAGACGTGGAAGTGGGGTACAGGCTGACAATCCCCTGAAACGGGGGTGGTAGGGGAGAGATAAACCACAGAACTTATATGCATTTATGCATGAACAGTGGACATGGACAACAAAGCTGGGGACAGGGCATGGAGGGAGGGGGAGGGCGAATTAGTGGGGGAAAAATGAGAAACATCTTAACAAAAATTAATTAATTAATAAAATAAATAAATTAATAAAAGTTCAAAGACCAAAACAAAAAAAGTGGTTTTCTGATTGAATGGATGCTCATTGGCTTATGGTAGATTGCCATGGAACATTAAGTCTGATGTCATAAAATATTGCTGCATATAAATTTTACCCATACCGAAGGCTGCAGTATTCCAAATCAGTTTTAGTGACCTGTCTGCAACACACTGTACTTGCCTGTTTAAAAAATTTACATAAATGCTGAAAGCAAAATTTAAAATTGTGAGTAATGGAATATGGAATGAATTTGGTTTTTCAAGGTAGCACTTTGTGAAAGCTTCCACATCCAAATCTGTCTTTGGTCAAGACATGAAATGTAAATTAAATAATTAGAAGTAAGTATTTATCTAGAAAGTTTGGATTAATACTAATAAATATGTATTATTTTCTCTTATTTGGCAGGCAAAATGGATCTGACTCCCGGTTTACCATTATTCTTGATCAAAGATTGGCTACATGGTCTTCTTTCAAAATCTGTCTCCAAATAATATCTGTAAGTACCAATGCATTTTTTAGTAACTTCTTATTTTTTTTTATATTATACTTTCTGTTTGTGGGGATATAGATTATTTTGATACTGATGGAGACAAACCAATATTGATGGAGAAAATAAAATAGATGGGGTGGGGAGGTGGGAAAGTAGGAAGAGGAATTGATATAGGAGATTGAGCTAAACAACTCCACTTAAAATAAAACCAAATGGGAAATAAAGAACCATAGTTAACCATTCCAGTTATAAGTGAGAAGAGACTCGAGGTTCCCTATGCTTTTCAGAGCAAGGCAAATTTTTGTGGGATTTTTAAAACATGGAAATAGCTATGTTGTATATTCATTGTAATAAGAAAAAGTACAAAGAAGAAAGTTCAAAACTGTAGTCAATACTCAAACTATCCAGAAATAAGCACTTTTTAAACAAGTATATCTTTCCAGAATCCCTCCCCACCCTAACCCTGGAATAGAGTAGGGAATGAGTTGCCTGTAATGTGACACAACTACCTATTGGAATCTAGTACCCAGCTTCCTAAGATCCAGATAAGAGAAAATGGTTTTACTAAAGGAAATATTATGAGATGCAATCCTTTCCACAGGGAAGTTGATCTTTTACATTATTAGGCTCTTCTTGATATAGTAGCATTGTCTGACACTTCTGTTTCATAAAAAAGGAGAGAGAGGAGGGAGCTGGCAAGAGTAGTGTTGTCTATGAAAGTACCATGTTGTCAACTTTATAGGACCAGGGTAACTGGGAATCAATATATTTTTCTCTTTGAGAGTCCAACATCATAAACCATCTGAAATTCTTACTTTGTTTCCTAACTGACACAGGAGGTCACAACCAGTAGAGAAAGTTGATTTATTTGTGAAAGCAAGACAAAAATCTAGGTTGTTGGACTTCTGAGCCTAGGTTCTTTTTACTATACTAAGCTGCTAACAACTGTAAAAACAAGTTGGTACTTGAACAATACGGCTTTGAACTACATGGGTTCACTTACACATGAATTTTTTTCAATAAAAAATGCAAACGTTATCTTCTCTTCCTTATGATTTTCTTAATAATAGTTTCTATTCTCTAGCTTACTTTATTGTAAGAATATAGTATATAATAGATGTAATATGCAAATATGTGTTACCCTACTGCTTGTATTATTGGTAATACTTCCAGTCAACATTAAGCTATTAGTAAAGTTTTGGGTAGTCAAAAGTTATATGCAGATTTTCAACTATGGGGGTGCTTGGTCCCCTAATCCTGATTGTTTAAGGGTCAACTGTGTATTGGAACTCACATGGTGAAATGAATGAGATTATTTATTCTTTTTATAACCAGTACGGATTATTTCTCATCTTAGGCAAGTCAGCAAATTGTTTTTCTGTTTATTTCTTTAACAAAGGTGTTTAATCATAAGCAATGGAGAGAAGAGTTGATTCACACAAATTACTAAAATAAAATTAGAAAGCCTTCACTTAGTATAATATATTTTTTTGCCTTTCCAAAAACAGTCACATTTTAAAAAGTAATGTTGATTCTTTTTATTTTCTGATTAAGGACTCCAGGCAGGTGCCATTATAATTGTCTTATAGATGAGAGAATTACATTGATGTACACTCTTTGGAAAGGTTATGTGAGGTCAAATAGCTAAGTATTAAAAACAGCCAGAGCAAAAATTGAATTTTCGTGAATTTCAGTTGATGCTCTTTCCACCTGCTGCTATCGTTTTCCAAATTAATTGTGGATAGACAAATAAATTCAGAGGTTTTTAGAAAAAGGTAAAATTCCTTTGGAGAAAATAAATCTGCCTTCCATATACTAAGTTAAAACTATTTTTATTAATCAAATAGGTTGTTTGGCATAGAGGTCTTGTTTTTTCTAAGAGAGAAGTATAAGATTCTGTTGTGATCCTATTTATTTGGGGTTAAAGAGGAATACTGAGTTGTTTTTTGACACGTAATGTTCCACTTTCTGTTTTTCTAGGAATGCTCTCTTACTGGGGAAGAATAAGCCATGTTCAGAAAAGAGCTGGGCAGTCAGGGTACCTTTAGTCTCATAACTGCCAAATTGGTAGCACTGGGAAGGAGTGGGAGTACAGGTGATGGTAACATGTAACTGGCTATAGATTATTTTAAGTGTATTTTTTGTTGTTAATCCTCACCTGAGGATATTTCTCCATTGATTTTTTTATATAGAGTGGAAGGGAGGGAAGGAGAGAGAGAGTGTGTGTGTTTGTGTGTTGTGTTTGACATTTTAAATGTTTCTGCTTTTGGTACTTCCTATACCTATACTCAAGAACATATTCATTGTATCTCAACCATTAATAGCCAATCACCTCTGTTTGCAATAAAGGTAAATATTGAATACAAGCTAACTTCAAGAGCAAAAGTTGTCATTCAGAAAGGATTTTTGGTGAAAATTGCCATTGTATAGATAGTATAACTGTCTGGTATATTATTTTAAATGAGTGTCTATGAAATAATTTTACAATTTAATTTCAAGACCTTAATTTGTAGATTTCAAAATAAACTATGCAGTTAGGCTATACTTCATAATTCATGACAGGAGATAAGATTGTTTTTAGTTACATATTTGGGGGAAATGTTAATTTGGGGAAGTATCCTATCCATTTTCAAAAATTTGCATGTTATGTTTTTTTCTAGATTATCATCAGGAAAAAATTTAAAAGCTCTAAGCTTTTACAAGGTTTAAACACATAATATAATTTAATTTAAAAAATAAAATTTAATTTTCAGTTACATAGATGAAGGTATCAGTTAATACTACATTCACAAAGATTCTTAGCATTCCACCTTAAAAATCAAACTTCGCAGAGGAAAAAGCCAGTCCTATCAAGCCCCTAGGAGGAGTCTTATTTTTTTTTCCCCTTCTTCCACTCTTAGGACATCATCTTGAGTAGTTCAGCACAAGTTAATCTGTGAGGTTCAACCAGGCTAAGTAATTGGGGAATGTGTCAGCACTGAATTAATATGAATAGCAGGGAAGGGTTTGTCAGCTGACTAATCAGGGATAGTGGTTTCCTTACAGTGATGCTACAGTGGTAATGGAAGCAGCTACAGCTTCGGTTGCTTTGTTTGATAGAAATTTTTGGCTGCTGCTTTTCAATACTACCCAAGAAGTAGCTCATGTTTCATCAATGTTGCATTGACAATTGGAAAAGGAGAGTATTGTGTATAGGTGAGATGGCAGAAGCAGCTCACCTGAGAGGCAAGATGAGGTTCAGAAGGAATGCGGTAAGGACTCTGCCTGCAGTCCTGGAAAGCCTGTTCCCAGGTTCGAGTGCGGGTATGTGCCCTTGGCGGAATTGAACCTGTGACTTGGTGGTCTGCGGACTGACAATCTACTGCTGAGCCAAACTAGCCAGGGCGACTGTATGAACAATTTTGAATCCTTTGGCAGAGTAGCTTTAAATCACTAGCTAAAATAACATCTAACAAAAGGATTAATTCTTTCACCATGGTCAAGTAGAGGATGATATGATGGATAAGATCTGGAGATGACTTTATCAGTATTTAGAAAGTAAGCCCTTCGTGGGTGTTACTGTACAAGTGAAAAAAATTTTAAAGGCTAATTATTGGAAATCTTTCTGATTTTAATTCTTCTCCAAATTAAAACTTTGAAGATACAGAATTCTAGCCTGTTGATAATTTAAAAAAAAAAAAAAAAAAAAAAAAAAGGAAATAAGAGTGACTCTCTTTTCATTATAGGCTAGAATTTAGAAATCTCTCCTTGCTTATATATTTCCAACATTTTTCTAACTAAAATTTTGCCTTCATTAGCTCACTTGTATACTAAATTCCCAGCAAATTTCTAAAGTGATATTTAGATGTATTTTGGGGAAATGTGAAATAAAACTAGGTAATTTAACAACTAACTTGTTATCAATAGGGTTTTACATGCCAATCTTTTTCTTTCAAAACTTTAGATAACATTATTGATGTTATGATTTAAAATATAATACTTGCTCATAAAAATATTGAGACAACACACAAAAAATAAGAAAGTAAAAATCAGACAGAAAAAAAGATTTTGAAATCAAAAGTAAGATTAGGGAAGTAAATGAGTAAGAATTTTATTGTTGTTGAATAACAGTGACCATCTGTGGGTGATATTAATCTTTTTATTTTGACAAAGTTGTATCTTCAGCTCTACACATGATTTTGTATTATGGGAATAATAGCTTCAGACTTTTTATTTTTTATTTTATTTTATTTGGTACGTGCCCCTAGTGGGAACTGAACCAGGGACTCTCTGGTCTGCAGGCTGTGCTCCAACCACTGAGCCAAACCAGCTAGAGTGCTTCACTTTTAATAGACAATTTATGATACACAAGGTATGCCTGTGTTGGTGCTTTGCAGTACTGGGTACAACGGACATTAGTACTTTTGTCATCAAAAGTGACTTGCCCTGGCCGGTTTGACTCAGTGGTTAGAGTGTCGGCCTGCGGTCCAGAGAGACCCAGGTTCGGTTCCCGCTAAGGACGTGTACATCAGTTGCAGTTTGACCCTGGCCCTGGTTGGTCGTTGGGGTGGCAGCCACCCTATGTGTCCCTTTCACATCGATGATTCTCTCTCTTTCTTCCTCTCTCTCCCTTCCACTCTGTCTGAACAAAAAATGGAAAAATGTCCTCGGGTGAGGATAAAAACAAAACAAAACAAACAAACAAAAAAAGTAACTGACTTAAGCTTCAGAAAGTTCCTAATTCCTTTTCATTTAATTAATTAATTTATTTATTTTAGTTACAGATGTTTCTTCTTTTTCTCGCTCTGATACCCCATCCCCCTCCTTCACTGCCCTGTCCCCAGCTTTGTGGTCTATGACCTTTGATTATGCATTCATGCATATAAGTTCTGTGGTTTATCTCTCCTCCCCACCTCTTCTTCAGGGGATTGTCAATCTGTACCCCACTTGTATGTCTGTGGGACTACCCCGTTCCTCAGACTGTTATGTTCATTATATTCCACAAATAAGTGACAGCATATGATATT